TTGCAGATAATAATTGTTTCTATTCAGTTTCTTATTTCTGTCTCTTCTCTTATTGAATCAGTAAAAGCTGCAGAAAATATTGATAATCATGGCAATAGTACCTATTCATTCCATGTAGTTTTGTTCAATAGGAAAGCTCACCTTTCACACCGAAGAATGATACTGGCCTATGGTTTGAGAGAGGTACTCATTATAAAATCCTTCTATTCCTAGTTTTCCTAAATATTTTCTAAGGGGTGAACACTAAATTTTATCAAACTCCTTTTCCTTCTCTGTTGAGTTGATCCTAAGACTTCTCTTTGACTCATTCATATATTATTTTATGTTGATAATGGTAACTGTACATATTCTAGGATAAATTCTCTTAGGTCTTCCATTATTTTTCTATTAGTATAATGTTGATTTTTCTATCAGTGCTATTTTTTTCTGTGTTCTTTTCTATGAGATTATTTTTTACCTATGTTACTCATCAGGACAATAACTTATGTGTATTATATATAGTTACATTTTGGGATCACATTGTACATACACTTTTGTAAGCTGAATTTTCTGCATTCATATACCATAAACATTTTCATATGGCACTGGGAATTCTTTAAGATATATTTTAATGGCTATATATTATGGGTACATTATAACTCAACCCTTACTCTATTATTTCATTGTTAAATTTTTCCTGGTTTTGTGCTGTTAGAAATAATGCAGGTGGGGCCCGCAGGTGGCATGCTGGTTAAGGCCACTGGACTTCCACGTGGCCGACCACAGTTTGAATCTAGGACCTAGCAGCTTGCTTTCTCACTTTCTCTCTCTCTCTCTCTCACTGATCAAATAAAAATATAAGTAAATAAATAAAGTTAAATAAAATAAATTTAAATTTAAAATTTTAAAAACAATAATAATGCTGGGGCTAGGCAGTGGCACAGCTATGACACAACTCAACCCTCATGGGAAAGGTCCTGGGTTCACAGGGCCTCTCTGAGCATGCTGGCAGTGTGCATGCGTCTGTGATCTGGGCTAGACAAGACTGGGTGGCCGGAGTGTGAAGATCCTGTAGTGTGAAGATCCTGTTGGGGGTCTGTCTCTGTCTCTGTATTTCACTTTCTCATGAAGGAAATAAAAAGTAAATCATGCAGAGATCAACATCTTTACATATAAACCTCTGTTCATAGCTCTGATTGTTTCCTTCCTGCATTCGTTTCCAATGGCTGCCCCAACAAGCCCAAAGTCGGTGACTTGAAACAGCAGAAACATATTCTCTCACAGTTCTGGAGGCCAGAAATCCAGAGCCAAGTTGTCAGCCGGACCATGCTCCCTTAAAATAAGACACTTTGCTTTCTGCTTCCAGCTGTTGGTAGCTCCAGGCCTGCCCTAGCTTGCAGCAGCATAACTCCCGTCTCCACCTCTGTCTTCACACAGCCGCCTTGTTTATGTATATCAGAATTTCCTAGGGATCTTGGTAAGAAGACACGTTGTGGGCCAGCCCCATGGCATAGTGGTTAAGGAAGTCAGATCCTATATGGCTGACCAAGTGGTTAAAATCAGCCCCAGCCACTTAAGAGACACACTGGGCCTATGTGTGTGCATGGCCAGAGCCCCAACAGGACAGAGAAATGGAGACGGAATTGTGGTGTGAGCACACCCCGTTGGAGGGTACTTTCTCCCTTTCCCTCTCTTTCTGTCTCTGTCTCTCTCTCTCAGGCAAGTGCACATGCCCTCTGGTAAGATACTACTACTACTACTACTACTACTACTACTAAAGACGTATTTCTTGAAAACCTGCTCTTCCCCCTTCTGATTCTGTGAACTAGTCTGAAGCCCAGAAATCAGCATCCTAAGAAGCATCCTAGGTAATTTTGAGGCAGTAATCCCTTGGTCGCACTCAGACAGCAGCGCTATAAAGCAAATTGCATGGAATTGGCAACTTTGTACTGCCTCTTCATTTATCTAGAACGACTTTTTATCCTTTAGCGAAGTTTTCTCCTGTATGTTACATCTCGCACATGGTGAATGGGTTCTTTTCTCTATTATATCTTGTCATTGTTATTGCTAGTACATAGAAAAGCTATTGATCTTTAGATGTTTGTTTTGTATTCAGCCACTGGCTCGCTCTTTAAATCTAATAGGCTTTCACTTAAACCTTTTGCAGGTGTGAGATGGGGGATATAGCTAATAAACAAGCCCATCACCTCAGAGCAAGTGATTTTTGCCTCCTTTAAAATGTTATACCTGTGGGAACCAGCAGCTGGCGTAATGGCTATGTCGCTGGACTCCCATGTAGTCAACTGCGGTTCACGTCCCGGACCTGGTGGCTTAAAACTCACGCCGGGTACGTGTGTGTGCGTGCCCAAGATCCCGAGAGGAGAATGGAGGAGAAGGGATTGCAGCGTGACCATCCCCCCTGGGGGGTGATTTCTCGCTTTCTGTCTCTATGTCTCTCTCTGTCTGGCGAGCGCACGTGCCCTATAGAGAAAAAACTCTCCAAAAAAAAAAAAAAAGTTATACCTGCTACTGGGTTGTCAGGAAAGTCACGACATAATTTCCTATGCTTTTCTACACAAAGATGCATCATGGCTTCTCTGACCACCCAGTATTTCTAGTTTATATGTCACAGCGGTATGTCCACATCTTCTAGAGCATTGCTAAATAAATGCTTAGAGTCCACCCTTAACAGGCTCCTGATTTTAAAGAGAATGCTTCTATTATGGCTTCATGGTTAGAATGGTATTGGCTATTGATTTTAGATATACCTTTCAAAAAATTCTGTCAAGGAAATAGCCTTTTACTCCCAGTCTTAAAGCTGAGATATATATGGCCAGCAGGTGACGTGAAAGCGAAGGCTGTTGGATCCTCCATGACTGCCCAGTTGGAGTCTTGACTTCCAGCTTGAACACCTGCAGGGTGCATCTGCACGTGTGCCCACAATCCTGAGAGGAGAATGGGAGAAGGCGCTGTGGCATGGCCATACCCCCGGGGTTTGATTTCTCATTTTCCCTCTCTGGCAAGTGAACATACCTTATAGCAAACTTGAAGAATTTAGGTAGATAGATATGGAATGTATATAGAATCTTACTCAATGCCTTTTTATTACATAAGTGATATTTTCTTTTTTAAAAAAGCACGTACAGGGGCTGGGAGGTGGTTTGGTGGTTAAAGACGCTGGACTCCCACATGGCCGACTATGGGTCAAGTCTTGGACCTGGAGGCTTGTTCTCACACTATCCCTCCCCTTCTCTCTGTCTCTCTCTGGTCAAATCTGTAGACCTCCCGCCATTGAATCCCTCTTAACTCATTCCACTCCAGTTCTGTCCTCTTCCCCGTGGTCCTAATTGTCTCAATTGTAACTCAAAGGGTGGCATATTAAGGTCTTTATATATATATTTTTTTAAAAGCACATACATTAGGTAAAACTGCTAACCCACACTCACCCTTTTATTTTATTTATTTATTTACGTATTTGAGAGAGTTTTGTTATAGTGTGTGTGTGCTCACTAGAGAAACAGTCAGAAAGCGAGAAGTTACCCCCTGGGGAGATGGCCACACCACAATCCCTTCTCTTCCATTCTTCTCTTGGGATTTTGGGCGTGCACTCATGCGCTTGGCATGAGTTTCAGGCTGCCAGGTCTGAAAGTCACCTGCAGGTGGCCATGTAGGAGTCCAGCACCTTTACCACTATGCTACCCACTGGCCCCTCACTCTTGCCCTTTTAAAATAACTCCACTCAGTTGTAGTGGCTCAGTCTCTGTATATTCTAAATTGTATCCCCTGGAATAGCACTCTCTCACCAAATGTGAGTTTTAGTTCTAAAAAGTAGCTTACCTAGCAAAATTATAGTTGCCAAAACCAAGGTTTCAAAGGGGTTTAGGAAAAAGCCCCAACTTTAGTTTTGAATATGTAACTGCATTTAATAATGTGAAGATTCGAGATGGTAATCTCTTCTAAAACAAACCTGACATGCTGGCGTTAAAATCTGTGCAGGTCAGCCCTGTGGCACAGTGGTAATACACTTCTCAAGAGAAGACAGATCCCATGTACAGTCCATGGTTCAAATCCTTGACCTGATCAGCCTGAAACATACCAGCTCGTACACAAATGGTCCTACAGGCTAGAGGACTGGAAGAGGGAGGTCGCGGCATGACCAGACCCTGTGGAGAACATGTATGCGTGTTTTTCTTTCTCACACATACCTGTGCACGTGCTCCAGCATGAAAGCAAAAAACTTGTACTGATAGACAACTTTTTTCCTAACTTACATTGTGTAATTGGTTAAGTAACATTTCTGTGCCTTTAACAAACTGAGAGGCTTAATGTGCTTTGAACGGAAATCTCCCTTGTTTTCACAAATTTGGCTAAATACTCCTTATATTCTGGTCATTTTTAAATTACCAAAGTTCTTACCGGCATGTTGTAGGGAGCTACCTCATCAGGTAGATCAATCCATATTGAGAAGATGGAGCCAAAAGAGCTCTTTCTGAAGCAGTGCATAAACAGGCAAATAGACCTCTCCAAAGACCTAGACCTAATAATTCATGTTTTTTCTTAGTTTCTTTTTTTTTGGAGAGATTTTTGCTATAGGGCGTGTGCACTCGCCAGACAGACAGAGAGAGACATAGAGACAGAAAGCAAGAAATCACCCCCCAGGGGGGATGGCCACGCCTCAATCCCTTCTCCTCCAGTCTCCTCTCAGGATCTTGGGCATGCACGCACACGCGCCCGGCATGAGTTTTAAGCCACCGGGTCCGGAACGTGAACCGCGGTCGACTACGTGGGAGTCCAGCGACATAGCCATTACGCTAACTGCTAGTTCCCTTTTCTTATTTCTTATTCTTCAAAGCATAAACTGGTTCTATTAAAAAAAGAAAAAAGGAAAGACTATAAAACCACATCTGTTCAAAACTATGCGAGTTGATACTTTATTTTTATTCAGAAATAAAATCAGTATATAGTTTTCTTTTTCTCTTTTTTTCTTTTTTTAGTGATATGCCCGTAAGTTTTTTTGTTTTTTAAATATGGAATACTTGATGAATTTTTGTGTCATCCTTAAGCGCAAGGGCCATGCTAATCCCTGTATCATTCCAATTTTAGTATACGTGCTGCCGAAGCGAGCACCTCATCAGTTTTTGGCATCAGAAATAATCTATCTTCAAAAGAATTTGAATAACTTCTTATATTTTTCCATATTCTAGCATAATTTATTTAGCATTAAAATGAACTTTTCCATAAATGTTTGCAACTGATAAAGGATAATTTTCAGAAAAAGATAAGTTTATGGCTCTCACAGAGATATAAAAATGAGCATGTTTTCAAGACTTCACTGTATTCATTAATCAATGAGGGAACCAGGCAGATGTTATAGCCAGTTCAAAAGAGAATTTGAAAAATGAATACATTTATAAATGAAAAATATTGAAATGAATGTGCAAATAGAAGCAAAAGTGGCTATTTTGTGGGAGGACGAAAGAATAGGGAATCAGTCGAACTTCTACCTGATGAAACAGAATTTGCATGATTATAGAGAAGAATTATTCTACATTACTATTACTTATAACTTACAGATATATATTTGTGTATATGCAATACACATATAAATGTATATGTATATCAAGTAGGGGGTCTTCAAAAACTTCATGGAAAATGTATATTATGAAAAAAGTGTATGGATTTCAAAATGTTTGTGGACCAAAATAAACTTTACATACTCCTTCCTTCTCTCTATAGTTTCAACCTCTCAGTTCTTTTTTATTGGCCATACAATTTGCTTGAATCTTTTTTATTTATTTTTGTTTGGGGAGAGATTTTTGCTGTAGGGTGTGTGCGCTCACCAGAGAGACAGAGACAAAGTGAGAAATTACTCCTTATGGGTAATATGGTAATGACTATGTGCAGTCCCTTCTCCTTTGTTCTTCTCCTGGGATCTTGGGCATGTATGCACGTGCACCCAGTGTGAGTTTGAAGCCACTGGATTCAGGATTCAAACTGTGGTCACCCATGTGGGAGTCCAGCGATGTAACTGCTATGCCAATTGCTGGTCTCAAATTTGTTTGAATCTTTATGTTTTGAGAAGCAAGCTTCTTTCTCTTTCTCTTTTTTTTAGTTTTTTGTTGTTGTTGTTGTTTTGTTTGTTTGTTTGTTTGTTTTTTTGTCATAGGGCATACTAACCAGAGAAAGATGATGAGAAGGAAAGTAAGAAATCACCCCCCCGGGGGAATGGCCATGCCATAATCCCTTCCCCTCCATTCATCTCCTGGAATCCTGGGCACGCATGCACATACATGCCTGGCATGATTTTCAAGCTGCCCGGTCTGGGACTTGAACCACAGTTGGCCATGTAGGAGTCCAATGCCTTGACCACCATGACACCTGCTGGCTCCCAAACTTCTCTCTAGGTCTCCTTGTACTTCTGAATGCACATCTCCCCTTTCATAGCCAAGCTTCCCTTGAAAGTGATCCACTTCCCCCTCATCTGCTCCTCTCACCCAACATCATTGTAGACAGACTCTGTTTCCACAATTCCTTAGAAACTGCTCTGTTAAAGGCCATCACATCTATGAATTGGCAGACCGCTTAGCCACTTATCCTTCCTTCTGGAAACTCTTCCTTGGCTCCTATAACAAAACCCTTGTTCTTCTCTGGTCTCTCTGATTGTTACTCACTTTCCTTACAGCGTCCTCTTGGTCCTCCCATTCCTAGTGTTCCTTGGTCCTGGTCTTTAGCCCTGCTAGCTCTCTGCTCCCTTCCTCTTCCCTTCCCCTCTCTTTGCATACCCCCTCGGGTACTATCTCCCTCTATCGCACTGTGCTCACACTCCCTGGTCAGTGTGTCCAGCCTGACCATCTGCCTGAATTCCAGACACAGATCATCTCCTGCTTTCTGAACATCCCCACATCCATGCCCCAAAGACACCATAAAATTTGTTCATCCAAGATGGTGGGCAAAGAAGGCAAAGGAAAATAAGTAGAAATAGTAAGAGAGAGGAGAATAAGAGAGAGGGCTGTGGGAGGAGGAAAAGAATTGTAAATTGTAAAATTTAAAATATTTTATTTATTTATTTATTAAGAGGTTTTTTGCTATAGGGCACATGCACTCACCAGAAAGACAGAGAGAAACAGAGAGACAGAAGGAACAGATCATCCACAGGGGGAGATGGCCACACTGCAATTCCTTCTTCATTCTCCTCTCGGGATCTTGGGCATGCACACACATGCGCCTGGCATGAGTTTAAGCTGCCAGGTCCAAGACTTGAACTGCAGTTGACTCCATGGGAGTCCAGCAACGTAACCATTATGCCAACTGCTGGTACCATAAATGGCTTTTTATGCCTGTCTCCATTTGCCTCTGGCTCATTTGGGCTGCCTACCCCCTGACTCCTGCATTCCTTCACTAGAGCTGTGATTCTCCAAGTTTGGTCCCCAGGCCAGGAGCATCAGCATCACTTGAGAGCATGTTGGAAACACAGAGTCTCAGTGGCTGGCCCTGTAGTGCAGTGGTTAAGTGCTGTGCATTGGGAGCCAGATCCAACATGACTGATAGTGACCCTTCAAATCCTGGTCCCAACAGCTTGAAAAAACAAGCTGGGTGAGTGGGGTGCATGCATTTCCAAAATCCCAACTGGGAAGACAGATGGGGGAAAAAGGATTGCAGTTTGATTACATTGGGGGTGGTTTTGTTCTCTCTCTCTCTCTCTCTCCCCTCCTTCTGTCTCTCTGGCAAATGCACACACCCTCTAGCCAAAAAAAAAAATAAAAATAAGGAAAAAAACAAGCTCTCAGGGCCCCCCAGATCCGTGCTAAGGTTTGAGAACCCTGCACCATGGAGTACCTACTCCTCCTTCACAGCCTAGCATCCCTGCTACCTCATCTGCAGAGCCCTCCCTGGTCCTCTCAGACAAAGTTAATGACTTCCTTCTCCACGTTTCCATGGTACTTTATTCATGCCAATTATATAGCACTTATTCTATTATAGTTATTCTTTATGCGTCCTCCTCTCCCACAGATGATGAAGTCTACAGTTATTACTGATCTGTATATTTCCAGCACCAGGCGTAGTGCCTGGCACGAAGTCGACATATATTACATGATCACGAATTGCTTTTAGTTTTTTTGCTCCCATGACCTCTTTTCACTCTCTTCTTACCCTTTCTTTTTCTTCCTTACTTTTTTTTCTTGAACTTCTCTTTTGTGTATGAATAAATGATCAGAATGAGACCTTACCCTCTGAAGGTAATGTTTTCATTGGACTCAAGCTTTCAATCCTTCAAAGCTTGAAGGATCTGTCTGTGTTAGTCAAGATTCAAAGAGAGAAGCACAAATGCATATACAGTTGATCCTTGAGCAGTCCAGGGAATAGGGGTGCCAACCCCACATGTAGTCAAAAGTCTGCATATAACTTTTTTTTTTTTTTTTTTTTTTTTTTTTTTTTTGTAATTTGTTATAGGCATGTGCACTCACCAGAGTAAGAAAGAAAGAAAAACTGAGAAAGTACCCCCCAGGGGGATGGCCATGCCACAGTCCCTTCTCCATTCTTCTCTTGGGAATTGGGACATGGGTGTACTTTTGCCCAACGTGTGTTTCAAGCCTCCAGGTCTGGGACTCAAACCAAGCTGTCAGCCAGGTGGGATTCAGCTGTCTTAAGCACCCCATCACCAGCTGGCCCTGTGTGTAACTTCTGCGTCCCCCAGAACTTAACTAGTAATAGCTCACTGAGACAGCAGTCACTGCAGCTGCAGATCCCAATCAGCAGCACGCATCAAGCTGTTCAGCTTTTCCTTGTAAAACTGTACCTTCTCTTTGGTGCTTGGGAGTCCTTCCAGCATCACTAGTGGAACTTCTTTTGGGGGCCTGGTGTGATTCAGCTTTTCAGCATTGTGTGATGAAAACTACGCAAGGACCGGGAGAAGATCAGCCAATTGCTACAGAAGGGAAAGGGGTACTGCTCACCGAGAGGATTGGCGTCACGTCACGTGGTGTTTTAAGTCGCCCCTGGCCACATTTTTTTTTTTGTTTTGTTTTTGAGAGAGAGGTTTTTGCTATAAGGCACGTGCGCTTGCCAGACAGAGAGAGAGAGACAGAAAGCGAGAAATCATCCCTCAGGGGGGATGGCCATGCCACAATCCCTTCTCCTCCATTCTCCTCTCGGAATCTTGGGCACGCACGCACATGCGCCCGGCGTGAGTTTTAAGCCACCGGGTCTGGGACGCGAACTGCAGTCAACTACATGGGAGTCCAGCGACATAGCCATTACGCTAACTGCTGGTCTCGCCACTGGCCACATTTGAGCTCACTGCAGTAGCAATAGGAGATGGCTACGAAGTGTTTACAGTCACACAGGGTGTGCCACAGTGCATGTCCTGCAGTTGTGACTTAACATGGCATCTTTAATGTCTATTTACCCTTCTCTCAACTGTGCGACTTTTCAAGCACTCCAAAAATATTTTTAAATACATTTATTAAAAAGAAAATCTGCCTATGTATGGACCCACACAGTTCAAAGTTGTGTTGTTCAAGGTCAGCCATGTGTGTGTATGTGTGTGTGTGTGTGTAAATTTTTTTAAAGAATTATTTTATTTAACTTTATTTATTTATTTATTTAAATTTGACCAGAGAGGGACAGAGCAAGAGAGAGAGCGAGAGAGAAAGTGAGAAAGCAAGCCACCAGGTCTAGGACTTGAACCGCAGTTGACCATGTGGAAGTCCAGCGCCTTTAACCACCACGCCACCTGCCAGCCCTAGGTGTGTGTAAATTTATGCACATACACACACACACACACACATGATTGGTTTCAGGGATTATGAACCTGCATAGTTGTAGAGCCAGTTCAGTGGTCTATGTAAGCTGATGTCCAGTTTGAAGTCCCCTGAGCAGACAGTTGAGAAGGGTGGGTGACTGCAGAGGAGGCATGGGAGGAGAACAGAGGGATACTGAGTCCCACAGCTCATGCAGGAACTCAGGGCATGACAGACCCATGAGGACACTGGAACCAGGTCAGTCCTCACTGCCTCCCACCTTGCTGATGTGGGTGTCCTGCAAAGAGGGAACTAAGCACACCCCAGACCCAGCAGTCAGGGAAGCTGAAGGAGAAGCCAGGCAGGGGAGCAGGGCAGGGTCAGCAG